CCCCGTTGACAGTTCACGAGCGCATCCATAGTGTCAATCCCCCCACCCCCGTCCACCCCGTCAAAAAATTCCCACTACACCACTGATTAAAGCTGTGTAATTCCCACAGACAGTCAAGTTGTCTCACCGTTTAAAATAATCCTCTAAAACTATAAGTAATACAATGATTAGACATTTGCTATAGTAGATTTAAGACATATTTTCAAAAGGGGGGTATTATATGATTAAGGAAGCTTTTCTTTGCCTAGTTTTTCTTTTAAGTTGGGTTTATTTAAAATCATTTCGAGGCCAGAGTTTACCTGAGAAATATCTTTTGTCCACAGTGAATTTATCTTTCTTCAACAATCCTAAAGCCTCAACCTAGTGGGGCTTCCTGAAGTTGAAGTAAAACTAGATTTTAGCGTCTGTGTTCGGCCTGAATTCTACACCAGGCTCCAATATTCAATACGGACCCTCAAGGCCTCGTATTGCACATTTGTCAAAGTGTAATGTCGTGACAGGATGCTTTACCTCTACAGGAAACCTTCTGCCATTGATGCTGTGTTCTGAGCCTGCTGATCCATTACTATGGCCCCAGTGAAACTCAATCTTCTCAGCCTTAAAACGCCCTGGCAGTCCAGCACCTCTTACGAAGTAGTCATCCTTCAGGAGAACAGCAACTGTAGAAAAAGTCAAAATTAAATATGGAATCAAACAAAGAAAGAAAATGGAGTACACTCATGCAAAGGCAGACAAAGATAGATGAGTAGTCAACTAATTGATTCTAGAGTAACTCAGCATTGGTGGCTGTTTTTTTTTGCCACTAATGTCAATATTATAACTTTTATTATCTTAACTTTTCTTCATAAACTTAAGCCGACTGCCTCAATTTAGATTGAAATTATTGTAGAGAAAAAATGTTTTAGCTCAGCAAGCTTTTACCATCCATTTAAAAAGGGTCTGAAAGGGTCTGCCTCTGTATGCCACTGTGTTAGGGATCATCATGACTAGATACAGAGTCAGTTGTGTGCACATTCACAATGACGCCACTGAGGTGCCCTTAAGTAAGAGCAGACAGCCCCCTCTTACAGTGTCGTTGACATCCTATTGGTTCAGTGTGGGAAGCTTCAGACAAAGCCACTCTCTGTCTTAAACCTCTTGCATGGTTTGCGAGGAAGACATAATTCTCTGCGTTGTGATCTTCCCCTCCCTGCTAGCATTTTTGCAAGGCTGTAAGGCTGTTGCTTCAACTGTGGTAAAGCAAGCATTTTAAATTGTCCTCTCATGCAAGGTTATTACCAGTTTCTGCACGGCTGAAGGTTTGACATTTTTGTAGGGAAGATCTTGTAATGTGAGTCTTTTTTTGCTGCGTCTTTATGCTGTGACACACACACACAGCATAAAGACGCTCTCATCAGTTATGGAAATGAGTGTTCTATGAAATCCTAGTTTTAGCATTTTTTACATAGTTGTATTAGCATACACACAAGAATATGACTTTCTAAACATGAATTTTTCGAGAATTTGGTGCAATATTAATATGGATGTCTGAAATATCGTTTTTGGGGCTTTTAAGCTTCTGATGGAGATTATAAAAAATTCACATTGCGGGACACATACTGTACACACAGCACCTCTTCACACAATAAACAGTGCTATCCATTTGAGAATGAAATATCTTAATAATGTTGATGACCCTTAATGCTCTCATATTTTTTCTTGTGAGCTCGCTTTTCATTGTAGGTTATTCACACATGATTTTCTGTTTGATTACATCCAATATTCTCCTATTATTAAAAAGTCTGAGATTCAGGAATGAAGCACTATGAAAACCATTCAACAGCATGAAAAATATTTGTGCAGAATTGGGCGCTGGAGATAAACTGACAATTAACCTCATAACCTTAAATATTACAACATTTGCAGAGATATTGTTGTTGCTGACAATATCAAGCAGAATAATCACAGAGGCTTTGGATGTTCTTGCTTCCTGCGAACAAAAGATCCAGTAACTCGAAAAAGTCTATTTTCAGTGGATAACATATACTTGTTAGTAGCCTGAGCAATTTTGAAGTCCTGCAGTGGCTTCAGAGAGGCGTTTTAAGGGTCATAACATTTTCACAATTTGTAGTAGGCCATTTAATCCTCTTCCTGAGGTTAAAACACAGACATTACTGCGGCTATGAGGTTGTTACATGACAACAGCAATTCAAATTCTCCTTAAAAGTGCAGGCTGTCTGGGATTCCTGAAAGCCAACATTTTTCAATGTTGTCAGTGGTGTCATGTAAGGGTGAACTAACTGCACTAGATCCAAAATGCCATCATGACAAGGCATATTACCATCATTCTGCTGTCCTGGCAGAGGTTACATTTTTATGTTTCTACAACCCTTTACCACGTCTACATTTGACATCATTAGCCAGATTAGACGCAGTGTTCTGTCGGCTGATCCCACCCGGTTACAGGGGGATTTAGTCAGTCTCTCCGGATAAGGACAGCCCACTTTTAATCATATCACACAAAGCAATCCAAGAGAATGAGCATGTGTATAAGCAAACACAGCCTGTCAGTAAACACAGATGACATGATGAACAAGCTGTGCAGAGGGGATGCATGACATTAAGGTAAGTGAAACAGATCACCATGGGGTGATTTCAACAGGAAGAATCGTGACGAGCATGAGATCCAGACAAAAGGAATGGAGAGACAAGAAGATCTGAAGAGGAGAACCTTCTGTGATGAAGGATGAGTTGAGCCCTTGTCGCGAGGCAAGAAAGGATCTGCCAGCAGTATTAATGTGCCAATGCTGCTTAAGCTGATGGCCCACAGTAAGATGGAAAAAGCTCTTAGATGGAGGAAATTTCCAAGAGCAAAAGCATCAGGTCAAAGCGTAAATCAGTCTGCCGAGGAATAAACTAACCATATCATGATTATAATTGCTGCTAACTCTTTCACAAACACATACATATTTACAAGGATGGCAATAAATCCCCTGTTCTGCTGTTGTTAGTGTAATCCCGTTTGAAACAAGAGGAAAGTCAAGGAAAGGGGATACTGGCCGGTCATGGGAGTTTCATTAAAAATGCGGCCCTGGGTGTGTTTGAACCCTCAAACAGCAAAGTAGGAATTAGAAGCTAAGCCAAAAAGACCTTGAATCACAGCCAGTGTGAGAAGGGGAGTGTGTGTGAAAGTAAATCCTTGATCAATGCAAATGTCTCTTGGGCCTTCCGTTTCCTCATGAATTTAGTTGAGAGTTGTTTGAAATTTAACTGAGAAATGTTTTGTTGAGGAACGCTGCTCGAATAGCGGCCAATCAGCTCGATCTCAAAGCAGGTCAAGGCACGAGGGAACACTGTGAAATCAATCTCAATGAACTTTTAAGACCTATTCACTCAGCTCTTAATTACAACATTCACTTTTAAATAGTATCAATGATGTTCACGCCCATTTGAACTTTTGAATCTTAACATCCCCTAGTGGTACAAAAAGAGAATATATATAAAAAAGCAACTCGGGCAAATGTATTAATGAATAACGAGTATAAGGGAACATGCTTAGATGACCTTGTATTGGCACACATGTCGTTTCAACCAGATGTCTAGAATATTCGTAGATTATATCAAACTAAATCAATGACATTGGTAAAAGCATTGTTTACTGCTCACGTATGAAAAAGCCTGAAGGTTTTACGTTTGAGAATAAACATTTTGGAAAAGAAGAAGTCCATGTAAACAAATAACTGAGGAAGCCATAGACAAAAAGTGGCCCTAGTCTCATGGCAATATACTGTAATGTATATGAATGGACACATACTGTTAGTCAGCGGTAAAGCGTCAGGGCCTTCAAGGTATTCAGAGAATACCCTGAAACTCTCAGATAAAACAAACAAAAAATCGATTTATTTATTTAATTATATGAATACAATTTTATAAAATGTAAATGAAATGAAATGAAAAGAATCGTATCTGTGTTGTTGATCTGTATACAGTGTTACGTTGATTGGTTTATCCTTCTCGGTCCATGCACTACGCATTTCAGTGGTTTTGTGTTAGAAAATAAATGCAACCAATCAGATCTTGTTCTGGGTCTCTGGGTAGAATATCCTTCAACCAAGGTATTCTATATCCTTGATTGAATGCCCTGGCCCTTGCACTGAATGAGAGCGTACGTTTGGATTGACAGTTTGATCAACCAATCATATATTGATTTGTAGCCAATGGGCGTATTCTTTCAGAGCTTCCCTCGGTTCCAGGGTACTCTAGAAGGCCCGGTAGTTTACTGGAGAGAGACAGAGGATCTAGATCAGGGATGGGCAAATGGCGGCCCGGGGTATTACTGATACCGTCCACTAGGCTCCTAGTTACGTCGCAAGCTGCATACATGATTTCGTTCGGCAGCCAAATACCGCAAAATAATCTGTGACGCGTTTGTGTGTATTGTGTTTGTTTCCCGGAAAACACTCACAAGAAACACCGGCTGTTGTTATGCCTGCTGTGGCGTTAAGTTACCGCTTGTAATTATGCTTTTACAAGCTTAAAAGTTGTATTTATCATCTGAATTTGGCGAAACAAGTTTAATATTCTAAAAACCAAGGCTTTGTTTATTTGAAATCAGATGAAAACAAACTTTCAAGGACCCTGCCGTGTTATCTATGATTACTATACGCTTTTCATTCATAATTTCAGCGGGAGGGAGGGGGAGTGGCGCTGAGGAACAGCAGAGTGCGGGCTGACAGGTGTCTGTGTTGACATTCCCCTTATTGTGGAATAAGGGGAATGCAGAGACAGGCTACAAGCGTCTTAGGTTCAAGTTAGACAACTAATGTCTGGGTTAGTGTTCATGACTTCATGTTTATGTCATCTTAAAGAGCAACTTCCAGGTTAAAGACACCTGTGAATAAATGTGTAGGAAAATGATGAATACACTAGATTTTCAAAACAATATACAGAAATATACACTACAGTGACATCTGGCGTCGTTTTTGTAAGAAATGTTCACTTCCGCATAAAAAAGCCTCGGCACGTGACCTCCCGCATGTGACGTAACATGGGGGAAACAAGGGGGAGAGCGGCCGGTGTAACTTATTAATAAACATGGATCCCGTAAAGTGTGACGAAGATATCAAACTAGGAACCGTCACTATTCACACTCGTTTATGACACAGAACCTCCTTCCTGATTAGTTCTGAGTCTGTTATGTCATTACACTTTTAATTACTGTAAATAAAGTGCATAATATAGTTCACTGTTACTATTGTTTTTATTGTGACATCCTGTAGCTATTTTCAATAGAATAGGTATAGTACAAAAAATTTATGTTCTTATTCGAGAATGCAAAGTCATTTCCTGGATTGTTAGTGATCAGTACAGAACATTTAGTCGCCATCAAATAAAAATAAATGGTAACGGAAGTACCATGACGGGGGACTAGAGGGAAATAGCGAGGGAGGCCCAGAAGGAAACAATTTCACAAGGTGCGGAACAAATACTTTTGTACATTTTGGTGAAATAATTGACGATGACAGTTCTGGTACACGAAATATAGAAAGAAGTTGTCTCGCAGGCCTAGATAAACACACCTTTGGGACTGAATACTGGGAAAGACGAGGACCGTGGTAAAGAGAGTCTTCCTTCGACCCGCGGCCGTAGAAGACGCGCGCGCTCAGCGACTCTCAACAAT